TATGCAATAAATATATAATAAATGAGTTAATTCTCGAATTAAATAAGTTATCTCGCTATTTGATGAATGATTTGATGAAATCAATCAGGCTCCATTTTATCATACTGAATTGATTTAGTGCATCAAACTAGCAAGACATGTAAATTAAGTTAATAAATGTGACCCATTTTAAGAAGGCCATGAAAAAATCCGGGTAAAAGTGTGATAAACTGTTATATGATAGTACAATTTTTTATTTTTATTTTTGTGGTGGAACTTAAAAAACTTAACATTTAAATTAACGATCGAAGTTTTTGATAGGTAGCATAGCTTTTCAGTTCTTTTTTTTTTTTAACTGAATAGTTTTTCATTTCTCTAACTCAAAAAACGTGATCTGATAAATGTAACCCAATTTTCACAGCTTGAGGAAAATCCTTGGCTGCAACCTGCGAGCATCGGATAAACATGTCGCCACTTGTCGGGAAAAAACATGTCGTCACTATTTCCTCATCCCTCTTCATCTGTTTTACATAATGACCTCATCTCTCCCTGTACGTCTCTCGTAGGGAAAATCATGTTCAATGACCAATATCACAGGTTATTTATATGAAATACCTTGAATCTCATGAATTATATTTACGACCATGTTCTTTACATGAAAAGAAAGTGTGTATAGATCGAAATGCTTAGGGGATGAAAAACAAATGATTCATCTCGTTTAATAGTTACGTCTGTAAAATTTGACGGGTACATGTAATGAATCTAGGAGAAATTATGAACAGGTCCTATACATGAAGCTTATAAATAAGTTTCATGAAATTGAAAAACTATAATAAAAACTTGACTGTAATTTGAGATTATAAAAATAATATTGCCCTATTAATTTTGCTTTCAGCTAAAGCTGCAATCCTACAATTTACAAGTGAAAATTATAATTTATAAGTTAAATTTCTTTTTTCTTTTATAAAAGATTAAGTGAGTTGGGTTTTAAAAACTTGCTAGGGTTATAGTATATTTATAAATTCAAAGAGTTTTTATAGATCACCTATTGGAGCTTGAAAAATGAGCCAACCATTGACAGGTTCTAACCTAAAAAGTAGAGCCGGTAATTTGGGTCGAGCCTGACAAACCAATCCAAACGCCCAAAAATTTCAGGGCCAAACTCAAAAAAATATTATTATTTTATTGTTCGGGCCTATTCGGGCGGCCCGAATACCCGAATAAAAAAATAACTTTTTAAAAAAATATAAAATATGATAAATACTAACTTTTTTAATTTTATATCATTTTATACCAAAATACTATATATATAAGTGTTTTAATGTAGTTATTTTTTAAAAAATAAAATAATTATATTTTATATTTTTATTTTTTAATCAATAAAATATCTTAAAATAATATTTAAAATATATTTTAATATTAATTTTAATATTTTAAGACCCAATTTTTGTTAAAAAAATTTTGAGTCCTATAAATCATTTGCATATAAAAAAATAATTTTATATTTTTTATAATTAAGGTAATTAATTTTAAAGTAAAAATAAAATTAAAAATAATTTTAAAAATAAAATTTAGGCATGTATGAATTCCGACTCTACTACTAGATAAACATGATAAATAAATAATATTCTTGAATAATTACTTGGTTATTGTCCATACTAGATTTGGTTAAAAATTAAGGGTAAATTAGAGTAAGAATCCTTTTATATAAGAGTTAAATAATATAAAAAGTTAAAGAAAAATAATTTCAAAAAAATAATATTTTACTCATAATTAAATAATTTTTTATATAATATAATGATGCAATTTTTTTTATATTCATAAAAATAAAAAGTACAATTTACCTAAAAGTTATTAAAAATTTTAAACTAATCGAGATAATAATTTTAAGTTAGTAGTCTCACTGTGATTGAATTGAGATTAGCTTAATCATAATTAAAATAATATAATTTAATTAAAATATATAAAATATTTATATATGACTATGATAAGAGCAATATTTAAACAACTAAAACGTTAATTTATAAGTAAAGAAAATATTCATGTATAAATTATACATAATACAACAAAATAATAACAGAGCTACTTAAATATAAATTGATAAGTTATTTTTTATTTTTATTCTTTTAAAATTAAGATAATATTTTATGCTAATAGAATTATTTAAAAATTAAAATTGATTTAAAAAATAAAAAAAATATTTTTAAAAAGTTTTGGGTATTCGGGCCAGCCCGAATAAGCCCGAAGCCTGAAGGTGTTAGGGCCAGGCTTGGCTATATGAGCTTTTTAGAAAAGGTAGGATGCTTTAAGCCAATCTGAATAAGCTCGGCCTGAATTGAGCCCGGCCCGAATAAGCTCAACCCACTCGAATTACTGGCTCTACTAAAAAGGCTAAGCAAGAAAAACTTGACTTTGAAGTCTTAATTTGTATAGCCTAATCTTAGAATTCACAGGTTTAGGGTCGATCTTGTGAACTTTAAACCCTTTTAAATTTTTTTTCTTTTGAATTTTTCTTAAAATTAACTGCATGAAGATAAAATAAATTAGATAGAAATATTAAATAGCAATCATTAAAATACAACATCATTGTTCAAATCCCCAAAATAAACCAAATAAATCTAAATAAACTAAACAAGTCTTATCTAAATGTTAATAAACAATACCATCATAATATTAAAAGTATCATCATGATAATTATTATTACTATCATATTTAAGATGAATCATATTTGGTTATACTTTATCATGAGTTGGCTTTTTAGTGGCCAAAATATCAATATTTTTTTTATTTAGGCTAAGATTTTCTTTTTTATTTTTTTAAATATTTTTTTTTATATCTGAATCTTCTCCTGCCTTATTCACCTGCATAAAAATTTAAACAGACATAAATAGGCCAGCTTCCAACCTCAAAGGACAGTCCTGTTTATGTTTAAGTCCATTAGAGTCACCTGCCTAAAATGTAAATTTGACCTTTCAATTAAGTGGGCTTAAATGGGATTGATTTGACAGATTTGTCATGTTCCTTGGCTCTATTATCCATCAACAAAGTTTTTAATTGATAGCAAAATTTAAACTTATGATCTTGTAAATTATAAGTTAAATTTTTATTAATTGAACAAACCTTTGGTGATTCATAAATTAAATTTCTTATTTAATGCTTAATAAAACATGAAATGAGAGTCTTCATAAAATTAATTATACCTTATTGGTCTAATTGGAGTTAATCATTTTTTTAAAAAATCAACTTTGAACGAGAACCAAACTAACTTGCATATTTAAAGGAGATTTTCTTGCTCAAAATGTTCACGCACATATTCTTAATTTTTGAAAGAAAAACTTTAACCAACAGTGTTCCAGAAATCGCGCTAATTATGTTTTATTGTATCGAAATAATCTTTGAAAAAAAGTGATTGACACGATCAGTATTTAAAAATTATGCCCTATTTTTTTTTTAACAAGCACTGGAACCTTCATTCACAAGGAAAGAAAACAAGATACAGCCAACACAAGGGTCAAAACAAAAGGAAAGAAAACAAAAACCATCCCACAGCCCACCCAGGGAAATTATCTTTTGGTGGCAAATCAAAGAAATTTAAGTCACTAGACGAGGAATGACACAATTTAGTAAGATAGTTGGCCATTTTATTATCTTCTCTGCTAATAAAAATAAAATTAACATTTCAATTTCTGCACAAGAGCCTTCTAATAGAACTAATGATATGATAAAAAAGATAATAACTATGATTATCTCTTATGATCCTTGATATCACTATGGCTTAGTCACAAAAAACTCCATAGTCTTGAAACATTTGAGCCAACATAATTCCAAACTTTTGTATATGCAGTTGGTACATATCCTAATTTTTTATTAAAACCCAAAATCCATTTTAATTACTTAGTTCTTGGTAAAAGCATACAAAATTTTAACACTTTAATTGAGTTAACGATTATATTATATCAGAGCATGAAAAAACTCATTCATGGATCAAAATCTCATTTTCAGATATATTGAATGTATTTTATGGCCTTTTTGGATATTCATTTGAGAATCAATTCTGAAATAAAAATTATGGTCTTGCAAAAATTTATTCAAAACACTCTCATTTTATAAAACTCTATCTGACTTATGAAACTCTATTTTAGAAAAGTTGAAATCTCTTCCATTTATAAAACTCCACTTGACTCCTTTCTTTTTATTATTTATTTGTATATTCAAAATTGATTCTCAACAAATTATCTAAACATTTTTAATTTATCAAAATTAATTTTTAAAAATTTATTCAAGCACTATCATATTTTAATAATCAATTTGTTCAATTAGGTTATAATTAGAATCCGTTTGTCACAACGCCCTAGTTTTTGTTCATTAATCAGTACTCCTCTATTAAAAAATATAAGATATTTTTAATTGAATCTCACCCCAATAAAGTAGTTACTATTTTTAAATTAATCATATTTTTTTATATTCATCCCTATTAAACACTCTGTAATAAATATAAAGTCATTATTAATAGAGACATTTTTGAAAAAATGACAATAATTATACCTCAAAAGCTTAAAAATGTTATATATTTTTGAACATCTAACTCCTTATACTTTATTTTTTAATGGAAAAAATATTAATTATTAATTATTAATATGGATGGATATTCAAATCAGCCCCATTAATGAGATTATCAATATTAATAAATACCGGCTAAAATATGCATTTAATTTTTTAACTTTACGTAATATTTAATTTTAGTATCTTAGCTTTATAAAATATATTTTTAATTCTTTAACTTTAATATTATTATTTTTATTTTAAAAAATTTTATACCGAACTTTTAAATATTAATAAATTATTATTAAATATTTAATATATTAAATTTAAATTTTTTAAAATAATAATGATAGGGTTAAAAAATTAAAAAAATATTTTACAAATTAAAAAATTAAATTAAAATATTATATCAAGTTAGAAGATTAAAAAGGTTTTTTTAACCAAGTGTGTGTATATCTTCTGTTTCTCCCTCGCTACGAAAACACATACACACACACAGCACCAAATCTCATCTTCGTCAATTAAACAGTCCGTCGTCCCCGCCGTTTTCGTTCTGGTCTTTCCCAATTCTCACTCCTCTTCCATCCCTCTTGTTTCTCCGATCGTATTCGCATCCACACTGATCCATTTCGATCCCAGCGCTTTGTCGATCTATGAATTATTGTTAATTTCATTTTATTGTTTTACACTTGTATTGTCGGGTATAGGATTCATATGAATTTCCGATTATCTGTTAAAGTTAGATCCTATTCGGATTCTGTATTCGATGGAATTGCATAGTCAAAGAATGGAAGCTATGAATGAACATCTCAGAGTTTAAAAATGCCCGGAGTAACGCAAAAAAATGGTCAATTCAGTAACGGGTCATCGGTGACGTACAAGCTTTCGGCCAATGGATTTTGGTCCAAGAATAGGGATGATGTTAACTACAATCAGCTCCAGAAGGTACTGGATTCAATGTTTTTTTTTTTTTTATCTCTCTTGGTTACCGGATTTTCCTGTCCATTAGAATCCCACTAGATCGCCGTTGTGTGTTTATTGAGGTGTAAACATTTATCGATTGCCTGACTTGGTACTGGATCTTTGCTGTTCAAACAATTCGTTGATTGCTTGGGTGCGCTTTAGAAGCATAATTTTTAGATGCAATTTTTGTTTCTAATTCAGTTCTCGGTATCTGGTGGCTGGGGTTCAGTTTTTCTTTCGTGTCTCCACATCCGTGACTGATAAATGGTACCAAAAATGCTTGTTAGATGTTACTTTTAGTACCAAAAATTACTTCATTCAATTGCCCATTGATAAATATGTAGCATTTTACAAACTTTGCTGCTCAAGGTTAAGATTCCTGATACCTTTGAAGCCAAGGACTTCAGTGGTTGTGGGCAACAGAAGTAATATATATAATACATATAAATATAATATATATATATATATATATGTATAAATAATAAAATCTATAGCAAGACACACTATTCACTATCCAAAATCAGTGTGACTTGTTTTTTAGACTGTGTAATGCACGTGGGATAAAAGGGAAAGTGGAGGGAGGAAATATCCATGGAACTGTTATTAGGTCTTAGAAATTGATCTGTCTTGAGAATTAGGTCCCAGAATTTGATCTGTCTTGAGAACATGTTACCCTGTTTTCTATATAAATTTGATATTTGTAATATGCTTGACCAATCTCTCGTGGGATGTTCTACATTATACAGTTCTGGAGTGAGTTGTCACCACGAACTAGGCAGGAACTCTTGAGGATAGACAAGCAAACCCTCTTTGAGCAAGCTCGTAAAAACATGTACTGCTCAAGGTGCAATGGGTTGCTTCTTGAAGGTTTTTTGCAGATTGTTATGTATGGGAAATCCTTACAGCAAGATGGAGCTGGCGCTCATCTTAATTGCAAAAGACCTGGAGGTTTGAAAAGCCAGAATAATACTAATAGTGCATTAAACGTGATGAATGGACGCTCAGATGAAATTCAAGATCCATCTGTCCATCCTTGGGGAGGTTTGACCACAACACGAGATAATTCATTGACACTTATGGACTGCTACTTGTACTCTAAATCTCTGAAAGGATTGCAAATTGTAAGTCTACAACACTTTTATCGATTCTTGTTCAATTGTTTTTTCCTGTTTATTATTTGAACTTTTGTTCATACCAGGTCTTTGATGGGGCACGTGCAAGGGAGCGGGAAAGAGAACTGCTCTATCCTGATGCATGTGGTGGGGGAGGTCGTGGTTGGATAAGCCAAGGAATAGTGAGTTATGGCAGAGGGCATGGGGCAAGGGAATCATGTGCACTGCACACCGCCAGACTTTCATGTGATACACTAGTGGATTTTTGGTCAGCATTGGGAGATGAGACCAGACAATCTCTTTTAAGAATGAAGGAAGAAGATTTTATCGAGAGACTCATGTACAGGTGTCTATCTACTTGTGCACTTCTTACATTACATTAACTATAGATAAGTGTCAAATTGCACTTGAGTTCTTATGCTTACCTAGAAATGGTATGCTGTTGAAACTAATACAAGGTGAAAGAGAATCTGGAAATGCATCTAAAGGATTAGATTATCCTGGTTATCACTATGCTCTTTGGGTTGGCCATTCCCCCCCTGAAAATTTAAAACAAAACAGGTTTTGGCTGTTGATATTACTTATCATTCATTTGCCAGGTGATTTGTATTGGACTAGCTTTCTGTGGGATTATAGAGATCCCTCATAGGCTTAGAGTTAAAAATTTGAACAGAAGCATGCTTAAGATTTAATAAAAAGATATAATGATGCATTAATGGAAAAGTTTGTCTCTGTTACATAGTCAAGCAGTCGAATGGGAAATTTCTTTGTGTTGCATGGACTTTTTAAGCAGAACCATTAATGCATTGTCAAAGATAGGTTGTGATGGGGAAGCTGCGTTGAGGGCATCATATGTCTGTCAGTGATGCCATGTGTCTTCAGTTCTCTGCTAATTATGCTTATATTCCGTCTGCTTGTGTGGTCCTGGAGCTCACTAATACAAGGGGCAGTCAAGGGCTGGATCTATTAAATTTCATGCCTTGCCGGAGCCTATCTGATTTTGAAGGTTTTATCTCAATTCTTGCTTAGGGTAGTTTTAATATTGTATGATAAAAAGTGGCCCTCAATAAAGTTGTAGACTTGTCACTTGAGCTAAATTTATGAGTTTGTCATTACCGGAAAAGAAGAATGATTCAAATTGTTATAAAACATTCTTCATTTCATGGGGTGGGGCTGGTCAATTTGGATATCAAAGGATTTGAGATGTGTAATCAGACAAGAAAGGATCACTTTGTTAAGGAGTTGTCAAGTAATTATACGAAAGATAAATCATGCGATAGGCTGTTTTTCATTATTGGCCCAACTGCACTCTCTCCACTCAAATGATAATTGTTATCTCTTGGTGAAGTGTTCACACAATTAGGTAGTTTATGTAATGTGGATGTGCTTTTTGTAACGTTATGGTGATCTTGGTGGGGATCTATGGAAAACAACACAATTGGGGATTCTGTATCATTTATATTTTTAAAACACTGAGAGAGTGTAGAAAAGGAAACAGGGAAGAATTTGAACAACTTTTATATATAAGTGGGAAAATATCGTTGTAGATCCAATGCAACAGTTATCTTTCACATGATAGTACTTGTTACTCAAGTGCTGTATGCTATTATCCCTCACCTCTGAGTTACATGACAGCAAGCTTTAGGTTCCATACCATTTATCTTAAGGTTGCAACATATTGTCTGATTGTTGGCTTGTTGTACCTTTCTAGAAAGCTAATTTCCTTATATCATCACATGGGTCTTCATGCTATTGCAGATTTATAGACTTCCCCTCTTCTCTTCATAATCATGCTATTTGAAATGCATAAATGCAAAATCTGGTCCTTGATTCAAAAATGAATTAGTTTATATTGTCATCATTACAGAAATTTACTTCACTGAAGCTTTATTGCATCCATTGAGGTCTCTGTTGACCACGCTGACGTACTTGCACTTGTTAATTTTCAGTTTTTTATTAAGGGGCTTTTATTCTATCCTCCTGTTTTTTCTAAGTTGTCTTTTTTTTCTTCCCTAATTTCAGGTTTGATAGCAAGAGATTTTGCCGAGATTGTAGGAGAAATGTAATTCGAGAATTCAAGGAACTCAAAGAACTGAAGCGCACCCGTAGAGAACCTCGGTGCACTAATTGGTTTTGTGCTGCTGATACAGCCTTTCAGTATGAGGTCGTGCTTCCGTGTTTCTATGCTGCAAAAATGTTTTGATTGAGATTCTAATGGAATGATATTCAGTAATATTGTAATGATGAGATCTGTCACTAATCTGCCCGTGCATACTGAGTAGATGTTCTTCTAAGCACATATCTTATCTGATCATGTTACCAGGTTTCTGATGACTCAATTCAAGCTGATTGGCGACAGACATTCACTGACACACTGGGATCATATCATCACTTTGAGTGGGCTGTCGGGACAAGTGAAGGAAAATCTGACATTTTGGAGTTTGAAAATGTTGGGATGAATAGAGTCGCTCAAGTCAATGGCCTTGATCTTTGTGGCCTGAGTGCATGCTTCATCACTCTGAGAGCTTGGAAGCTAGATGGACGATGCAATGAACTTTCTGTGAAAGCTCATGCATTGAAGGGTCAACGATGTGTACATTGCAGGCTAATTGTAGGAGAAGGTTATGTTACAATCATTAAAGGGGAAAGCATCAGAAGATTCTTTGAGCGTGCTGAAGAGGCAGAGGAAGAAGAGGTAAGTTCAAATTAGGAAATAAATTTCATTTCCATTGTCCATCATTCACGCGTTTATTTACCAATCATTTAAGCTTAGTAAGAAAAACTCTCACTTATTATGTAATGCATGCATATAGGATGATGATTCAATAGACAAGGATGGGAAGGAGCTTGATGGAGAATGCTCCCGTCCACAAAAGCATGCGAAGAGCCCAGAACTTGCTCGAGAATTTCTTTTAGATGCTGCTACTGTTATTTTTAAAGAACAGGCAAGTTAAGATTTTACTTTTTGTTTCTATTTTAAATGGTAAATGATAGAGCACAATGGTGTCTTGCAATCCATATAGCCGATCCCACCTAGTGGGATAAAGGCTTGTTGTTGTTGTTGTTGTTGTTCTATTTTAAGAAAAAAAGAAGTCTATTCTGATGTTTCCCTTTCCAGGCATGTTTATATATCTTCCTCTCTGATCTTTGCATCACAATTTTAAATGGTTGATATGGTAAGCATGCAAAGTTGCAAAACAAAGTAATTAGTGCTGTATGGAAGTGATGCCAACTGGATACAATCGAACGAACTTATAATGTAAGGCAATGCCAAGTAACTTTTGCTTCCGGGTCAGATTAGGACTGTTAAACTTTACACTTGTTCTTTCCCCTCTTGATGAGGGAAAAGTTTAGTCAGGTTTGCTGGCTTAGATAAAATATTGACAAATGAAGAGCATGTCATTCATTCCTAATTTTGCAGGTTTAGAGCATCAGTCATGTTATTCTCTTTTCAAATTTTGATCTGATCAATTGCAGCCTTCTGGCAAAACCTGATAATTATACGGACAAAAAGAAGAAAAATTAGAGAGGCAGTTGTAGTATACTTTGACGTACTAAAAAAAAGGACCAAAACAACGCAGTTTGTGATGTCAAGATTGATCTCTTCCATGTGGATATCCCCCAATCCTTTGGCATCTATTTTGTGAGAGACGGTTCTTACAGGAATATTCCTCAGATTTTATTTGTAATGACAGTGAGAGATGTGCCAAGGGGTCAACTTTATCCATCTTTAGCTTCTTTTTGTATCACTATTTTAGATAACATGGATTCTCGGATCTAGGTTTCGACATCTGGAGCTTGCTCCAATTAGTTAATGATATGCTCAGCTAAAGTGACATGTGAGTTCTGTTGCTATCTTTCTTGACTTTTCTGTTTTGTGAACTGCTGACCGTGTTACTTTATCAGGTTGAAAAAGCTTTCAGAGAAGGAACAGCTCGCCAAAATGCACACAGTATCTTTGTTTGTCTTGCACTTAAACTTCTAGAGGAACGTGTTAATGTGGCATGCAAGGAAATTATTACATTAGAAAAACAGGTATTATTAAAAATAAAATAAAATAAAGGCCCAAAAAGAGCAGCAGAATTTTTCAATTTTGAGATAACAATTCTGATTCTAAAATCTTAAATCTTATCCAAGTGATTTTTCTTACAGATGAAACTTCTTGAAGAAGAAGAAAAGGAAAAGCGTGAAGAAGAAGAACGCAAGGAGAGGAGAAGGGCTAAAGAAAGGGAGAAAAAATTTAGGAGAAAGGAACGACTGAAAGGAAAGGAGAAAGATAAGGAAAAAAAGGGTTTTGAATCTAGTAATGCTTTTGACTCAGCTGAATTTTCAAAGCAAGAATTATCTGCAATTGCTGATATGGAGGAAACGAATCCTAGTAACTGCGGGGATAAAGCTATCGAAAAAGGTGGTGCTAATATATTGGAGGATGAATCTACCAACATCCAAGAGGAAGAAATAGATGGTGAATTAATACTATGACATTGCAAGATCACTCTTGTAATGATTATGATGGAGAAATCATCAATACAAAAACTAGTACTGGTACTTTCACAGTTGAGCAATCAAGGCTTTCTCGTCGGAGATTAAGATATAGGAAAGATTTTCAACCGGATATGCCAATGAAGTGGTCTGACAGACAACGTTATGCAGTTGTTTCAGAATGTGGTGCAAAGGTTGGTAGATCCGAGACGAGACATTGTGGTGATGCTTTTGTGCTTTCATCTAGGGGATTCAATGGATCAAATAGGAAGTCGAGAATAAATGCTTCAAATTTCAATGGTCGACATGGTGGTCCTAAGAATAACGAGAAGCTCCACTGTCCCAATAACCACATGACTGATAAGTGTGACTTCCATTCTTGCAGTTGTAATGTGAATAACGAATATAGGATAAGGGTTGACCAACGTTCTCCAATGAGTAGAGTTAGCCAGGAGAAAAGGCCTACGATTAAGTCTGAATCTGCAATGGACGTGTCTAAGCAGTCTTATTATGGTAGTAAGTATAGCCAAGTAGACCTTATGTATGATAGTTGTGGAAGATCAAGAAGCAGAATCATCTCAGGTAACTCTGCCAGCAGGGATTTGCTTCAATCAAAGAAAGTTTGGGAGCCCATGGAATCAAAGAAGTACCCTCGTAGCAATTCAGACTCAGACGTTACATTGAGTTCTGTTACTTTAAATGCTCAAAGAGGTCAGTCTGATAATATGATCAGATCATCTGCTGACGAAGCTGGTTCAGGCGAAGTTGATCATGGGCATCGAGGCGGTCAGGATCTTCTTCAAGAAACAGAGTGTTTGTGCAGTTCCACGGAAGCTGCTTCTGAGGAACCTGAATTAAGTCCAACCAGGGCATCTATCTCGAAAGCTTCATTGGATCCCAGTCAAGGCAGCACTACTAATTCTGATAACTGCTCGTCATGCCTAAGTGAGGGTGACAGTAACACAACCTCTTCGAACCGTGAAAATACAGAATCTTCAACCACATCTGATTCAGAGGATACTAGCCAACAATCTGAAGAAAGAGAAAGTTCAGCACGCGTTGAAAATGGCTTGTCAGACTCTTTCAAAGTTGGAGTGGGGAAAAATCAGAATTCATATGGAGAGGGTGTGGCAAGAAGGCTACCATTTGGCGCCTCCTTGGACGGAACAGGAAGTGATGGATTATGCGACCCTGTGACAGAAATTTCCCACACTTCGGACAATTTTTCGACCACCAATTTGTGTTCTCAACCTCAAAGCAAGCTTCATTCAGTGCCTAACTACAACATGCAATTTCCAGTCTTCCAAGCTCCTTCGACAATGGGTTTCTACCGTCAAAATCCTGTATCATGGCCAACAGCCTCGGCAAACGAGTTGATTCCCTTTCCGTACCAAAACCACTATCTGTATGCTGGGCCTCTTGGGTATGGCATAAATGAGGACCCGCACTTCTGCTTGCAGTATGGCGCCCTACAGCAGCCCATGCCCCTATTCAACCATGCCAATATTCCAGTTTATCAGCCAGTCGCGATTGCCAAAGGATTAAAACCGGAGGAACGAACTCAAATTTCTAAGCCGGCTTCAATCCAAGAGCATGTTGATGGATCTACAGCAGAGAGGGTTGTTTCAGCTGGAGCGAGCGCCGAAAAGCCAGCGTTGAATGGGGAAGTTAGATATGATAACTCAGCCAATTCAACAGGCAAAAACGACGTTTTTTCCTTGTTTCATTTTGGTGGGCCCGTAGCTCTTTCCGCAGGTTGTGAATTAACATCAGCGTCTTCAAATTGTGAAGCTGTTGAGAATTTCTGCTCCAAAACTTTGGCAGATGATGCCCAGAACGATCATTCTTGCAATAAAAAGGAGACTACCAACATGGAGGAATACAACTTGTTTGCGGCAAGCAATAGCTTAAGGTTTTCGATTTTCTAAAATGAGGCATAAGATGGCAGTTATGTGTAGTCAATTTCTCCATGTATGGTAATGGAGGTTTGACTGCCTTGTAATTTGGCGAGCAAGCAAGAGTCCTTCTGCGGTTTCCAATTTTACTTTAGTTTGATGAGTTTTGTCTCCTTGTTATTCGGTTGAAATAGAGAAAGATCTGGTATTTTGAAGTTTATTTTATTTTATTTAATTTTTTGGGGTTTGTGTGAGGTCAGCTGTTTTTAAGCTCGGACGAAGCACGTGTACATGGCAATTTTTTTTTTTTTTTACCTTTTGTCATGCTGGAATCAAAGCTATAAAGGCTTTATTGGGTTTTTTCTGTATTAAAGTGGTACATTTGCTTGACTCCAATATTGCTAAATATTACTCCTTTCTTCTTCTACTTCTTTTTTAAAGGAAAAGTCTATTTATTCATTACGAAAAGGTTAGTACAAGACACAAACTGAAAGCATAAACATAATAACAGTAAAGAAACTAAAAATACAGAAAGCCAGCAGCAACAACTCCATGGCACAAAGCTGATGGAGAGATCCCTGCCACTCAAACGCCACCGACAGAGGAAGGAGACGACTGACAAAGTGAAGACCCTTGAGCATTAGATGAAAACATCTTCCAAACCAATTAAGAACCGTCTTCGAAACGGTTAAAGTGGGTACCACAAGGGCGTTGTCGATGTAATGGCAAAAGCCATAAGTCGGATTCTCTCATCCAATGGTCCATTGACCACAGCTCCTCATGTAGCCAAAAGAGAGGTGACAAGGACTGCAACACACTAAGCCAACGAACCAGAAAACCTAAAGAAAGCAGAGGGTAGCCTAACAAAAGCTTGAGAAACATAACACTACCCTTTTTTTTTCCTCAATCATCCTCATTGTCATATGTTGCAAAGGCGAGCTTTTTTGTAGGAAAAACTCACAAAACCCATACCAAGATCAGAACCATTTGGTAGAGAATCTGCTGCGCCACCATTCTGCCCCATACATGGACGAGTGCAACCCCTCCAGGACCATCCATAGAAGAATTATATTGAACTGTAGCATCAACAGAGGGAACCCGAGGACTCCCTGTATCTAACCCAGGCCAACGAACGTCATTCAAGTCCACCAGAGGCCTGATGCGGAGGTATGTCTCCGTTTGACGGTTGTGGATAAGGAAAGCGTCAGCAGGAGACGGCGGATAAGAAACTCGAAGATCAAGGTAAAGTTGGCGCAGGTCATCAATGAAAGATGAAGCTAGGAGATAATTAACTGAACCTGCAGCTTGAAGCACCTCCCACCTTTGGTCATATAGTTCATGCAAGCGAACCATGGAGTATATCCATCTAAACCAGTCATATCTAGGCTCCATCCGAGCCATAGAACCAAGACCCACATTAGAGCATTCTATCGTAATAAATCGAAATGAATGCTCTCTGACATTGTGTTCAAGTATTATGAATGGGTCTCCTCCAAGCACACGAAGCCAATGAAAGCCTGAGGAACGCCAGCTGTGCAAGAATTGGTTAAAAGCATGCTTGTTAAAGGCTTCAGAGTGACGTGATTCTGTAGGTGCAGCCATGAGAGTAGGGAAGAGAGGAACTGAGCACATGATGAAACACACTGAAGGAAAACTCGCCTATATAGAGAAATACGAGCCACTGCCACCCAACCATCCATTCTCTATGCGAAAGTTCCGAGACAGTAAGCAAATAAACTCTGAGCCATGAGGAAGACTAGACCAGGAGAAATTCCTAAGCCATAAGCGTGAACAGGGACGAGTGCCCTTAGAAGATTGACACCTCATCCAAAACTTGAAATGAACTCTGAGCCAGGTGGAGTATAGTAACTATGGCAGATGACTTGTGATTAAATGAGAAGCAGAGAATCATGATTATACTCTTTAAGACGTTTAAAAGGAAGAGCAAACTCTCCCTCACTTAGGAAGTTAACTTCTAAGGCCTTCCGTTTCTTTGTAGTAGAATAAGAATTAGACACACCAGTAAAATCATGCAAGCTGCCACATAGCTCTGTTTCTGATGAATTGAAAAATTGATGAGAAGCATCTGAAGGCTGCAAAAGAACACCCGAAACCAAGTCCAATTTATAACCCGATCCTGGAGAGACCCGATCCGAAAAAGGTAACCCGAATGTCCTTCCAAAAATGAGACGACGTACATCGTGAGAAACAGTGGCCAACATGCAAGCAGGATGAACAAAGGCGGCCAATATTCTCAAGGAACAAAGAAATCACAATCGTCCCATCTACTTATTAGAATAAGTGGAATGGATTGAAAAACTAAAAATAAAAATAAAATAATTAAAAAGAATACAGGAGTATATTTATAAAAGAAGGTAATTTAGTTTATAGAATTGAAAATATTATTTATAAAATTTTTAGAAGGTGTGATAATTTTTACATTTGTAATATATATTATTGAATTTTATTATGCTTATTATAAGAGGAAGTATGATTTAATTTATTTTTTTTATTTTTTTAATCCATTTTATTTTATTATATTCTAGTAAGCAAACATGACTTATAGGTTTTCTTTCTGAAAAAAAAAAAAACAGGGTTAGATGAGATGGAAGAGAGAAAAAAATCAAAGACAGACACAGAATTTATGACCAATACTAGAACGGAGACTTGAATAATCAAAGGAAACAAAGACGCATAACTTGTTACCTATGAAAGTGGCAACAGACTCAGAATGGAAAGACAGACAGAGGAGGACCAAAAACTTTAACCCAAACGCAAAAGGAAGAGAAAGAAGGAGTGGAAAAGTTAAAATCCTCAAGCCAATGAGAAATAGAGACAAAAAAACCATTGAATAACCAGACACCACAATTAAGAACAAAAGAAAGATCAAATTCATAACTAAAGAACACGATAAAAAACGAACACAAATCAAGTGTTTGGTCTAGGATTTGAAAGTGGACCACTTATGAAAAAAATTAAATATTTTTTTTGAAAAGTTGTTTAGAACAAACTCCAAATCAATCTTATTTATCTTGAAGGGAGTACTCTTTTTTAACGAACTTATATTTTTAGATGTAACTCTCCTAATTCTTCTATTCATATTTTAAGAGATTGCAAAGAAGTGTGCAATATTTAAGTTAAACTTGTAAAACCTTCAAAACTTAATACTTTCTTTTCCCTTCTTATGTAGGGTTGGATAACTTAGAATGTGAAAGTCAAGGCCAGCAACTTAGACACACGAAAGATCCCTTGGTAGATGATTTTCACTCAAGTGTGTTGGAACATTTGGAAGACACGTTGTACAAAGATCTACTTAGAGGTTTCAACCAATACATTAACATTGTTTTCTCTAGTACCCATCAAGTTGTCAATGACATGAGGCTCTAATCAAGAGTTAACACTTTTAATCATGATGGCAAGAGGTTAGAGGCACGTTGGAGACCTCTAGATCCAGGATGGATCTGTCTTGACATTGATGGAGCTGTAGCTCCAATAAAGTTGCAACTTGTAGTGAAATCATGCATGACGATAAAAGTAATTGAGTTAAGAGATTTTTCAAATATTTTGACTACCAATCCAGTACAATGAAAGAACCCTTGGCCATTTTAAAAGGTCTTCAACTTTGTTGAAATGTGCAATTCTCTAATATTAATATATATTCTGATTCAATGAAAGCTCTTTCTCTTATTTAGCATAATCTCTCTGATAATCATCAATAAAATCAAAGATTTTATCATGAAAGATTAGACCATTAGATTCAACCACACATTCAAGAAAGCAAACAAATGTGCTGATTTTCTTGCTCACCAAACTTTTTAAGAAAATTTAGATCTTTTCATTTCTGATCATCCACCCCTATGATGCAGATCCCTTGCGGAATCTAACATGACTTGATTTATATTCCTCTTCTGCATGGGTTTTATGTGATCTTGTATTAAAAAAAAAAAAAAACCCCAAAGACTGAACAATATTAACCTGACCAAAGAGGCGCCAGTGAGAACATAACTTCTTTTGTTCCTTATTATAAAAACTTCCAGCATATTTATTAATATAATATACTTTGTTTAAAGCGTTATTTTTTGAAAACTACTATCCCTAACTAATGTTAAAATTTCTCGACTAATTAAATTAACTCCCTTAACTAATTATTTTTACTGAAAATAATTTTAAAATTTTTACAAGAAATAACTAATTTTTAACTAAGTGAATTTACATAAAATCGTTAATAAATGCTTATGAAAATGACTAAAAGGAATAAATACAATAGTAATTAACTGACAGAATAACAAACTTTGCCGCTGAGCTTTAGGATTCATACAAGCTCAAATTTGAACGATAAAATGAGACTAACATGATGTAGCTCAGACAAAACTAAATCTAACCCCTGAATACGATGCTTTAGAGGACTGATAATAACATGCAAATCATGGCAGATGTTCCACCAAACACTACTGACCCGAACCTTGTTCCATAATCAAAGATTCAAAGTCACAAATAGGAACAGATATTTCATCAAGTTAATAACCTCATGCACTATTTTCTTTTTCTTTTTTTTTGTCGGAAAAAATCCAGCTCAAGTGAAGGAATTAATGACACTAGCAAAAATCCTGAACGCAAAAGCCCTACCCAAGTATCAGATTCAATGATAAAATCGAGCTCGTGGGAAGCATCACTCCTCCCCAAAAGTTAAGACCAGATAGAAACTTCTTAATGTACTAGAACCAGATAGATTTTCAAATATAAATAGAGCCTAACATGCAAACACGAAAATTGAATCCTTAGTGAACATTTTGCATTAGATATACAGGGTAACATTAAAAGCCAAAAACCATGACAGGCCCAATCAAGGCTAAGTGAAATGTTGCAAAATGAACCGGTAATAAACTTTTAAGTAAATATCCACTGCAGTTTTTTAAGCCGCCGACCTGCTCAAAACTGCCAAATAAAGGCCAGGTTCATCTACGAATTCAGTCACATTATACCAATGAGCAACTGCAACTCTCTGTAAAGTTGTTTTATCAGGCAGGTCAGAAACTACTACTTCTGGGTGCTCTTGCCGTTGCTTTTTTAGTACTTCTCTCCCTTGAGGATGGCTGATAACCACCCTTCCACCTAAAGAAGTCACAAGTCAGTGAACCAACTTGACAGCAAAGTAAGATAAATTAACAAAAGCGATCTCCCACAATAATAAACTAACATAAACACAGTGCACCAACCCCCTCCCGCCAAAACTACGTGTTTATCTCAGATTTAAGATCGATGAAATACAACAGCGGCTCAATTCATACTTGTGCAAGCTCATGAGAGTGTAAATAAATGAAGCAGCTGTATTTGGTTTACTAATTACAGCCGTACAACTTTGCAACAAAAATGTAGAGATAAAAAAAAATGAAGAGGAAAACCTTACATATCTAAACAGTCATGGATAACTAACCTGGTGAGCATTTTTTAGTAAGAGAACCCAGAATCTCGTCAAGTTTGAAGGGCAGAGCAGGCAGGAAATAAAGAAACACAACATCAAAGGGAGCCCATTTCTCTGGAACATATATAATTTCTCCTTGCCAACACTTAACCAGGTCATATTTCTCTTTAATACCAGCTAACATCAAAAGTGAATCATGGACAACAAGCAGAAATTTGCATGGAGATGAATCTACCAAGCGATCCACAAACCCCTCAGAACTAATTGAAACCAAAACCCTTGAAGTTTCTTCAATCTTTCCAGCAGAAATAATGCGGTCAATATTACGATTGAATTCCTCCTCAGGACTGGATTTATCAGACTCAAGTAATGACCAATCCTTCTCCACGAGTTCTTCAAAGTTAATAACAGATACAGCTCCCTCAGGAAAAGAAATTGAAGCATCAAAATTTGAGCCAGTGGCATGAAGCAAAATCAGCTTACTGAATGAAGATGCAAGAGAAGTAGAAGACATATTGAGACCATTGAAACTGTGACGGTTAATATGCTGACGTTTTATTTGAAGGCGTGGGTGGGACTTGAATATTGGAGGTGAGATAAGGTGGAAGGAGCCCAGAGAAACAGAACTCATGGAGGAACGACTTCTTTTCCAGCTGTGGTGCTATTGACTGTTGCCTTTTCAAGATGAGCAATACCAGAAACTTATTGAAAATAGAAGGACGGAGTAAGAAGAGATTAAAAAATGGCTGGGCCAATCTTTAAGCAGTACGTTGCAAAGAACTCCTCAAATCCGCCTCTTAGAAATCGCTTACAGATTGATTACTGATTAGCATCCCTACTGAGAAAACCAATCGTCAGAAAACTTGAATTACCAACAACAAACGATTTTAAGCGTTCGAAATATGCATAACTGATATAATACCCTTTTAGTTTTGTTCCCGGTACTTTGACACAACTCGAGCCAAGTCATTTACGAGATCACACATCACAAATACCTTGAGAATTTTCTAAACTGATGATAATATAAAAAGAGCAATAAACAGAATGCCAATACACAAGAAGTCCAGCATTGCAAAACAATAATCCAAATCACACAAGTCGCTAGTAATCAAAATGAAGAGGGCAGGAGGATAACAGCCAATTACACACCATTCCAGCAAAAGCAAGTACAAAATAAATAAATAAACTCAGTCTGTAAATATTCCCAAATTCAAAAGCGTCAATATTCAAACGATTACACGACCAGGTTCAAAGCCAAATTAAAACGAAAAAGACAAAACAAAGCAAGAACAACCACGCAGGGAACAGATGACGCGGGGAACAAAATTCAAATATAGATTCAGAACCAGATTGAAAAAACCAATCTCACCAGATTTTGGGAGTAGAAAACCCTACGGTTAGAAACCTCTTCACTTCTTGCCCAAGAACAACCACGCAGGGCTGACAACGGTGGACGGCGTCCAACGGAGTGTGGAATGCTTGTTGGTCGACGAAGGGATCAGCTCCCCAGGAGATTGCGTTTTGTCGTTAAACAGGATTTAAAAGAAAAAATTGACAATAAAACTCCTTTAAATATATAAATGATATTTCTTTCATTTCAAATTATAAATATTTTTAAATAAAATTTTATATATTAATAAATTTTATTAAATATATTTAATAATTTTATTTTTTTAAAATAAAAATATAAATTTTTAAAAATACTCATCATTTAATATGTTAAAAAAAAGATAAAAATTAATTAAAAAAAATAATATTAAAATTAACGCATTAATAAAACTTTAATTTATTTAAATTTTTTATATTTTAAATAAAAAAATTTTTTAAAAGTGCCTTATATTTTAGGATAGAGGGAATAATTTAATTTCTCAAAATGTTATAATTTTCTTGAAGTTACTAAAAACAATTTCATTATTAATGAGTTAATATAAATTATTAAATTATTTTTATTAAAAATAAATGATTCACAATTTTTTTTCTTATATTTATAATTTTTCTTTTTATATTCACGATAATACAATAATAAATAAAGAATTTAACACGTGAAATTATGATTTGCTGTTGTATTATTATAAATTTAAAAAAAAAGTTATGAATATAAAAAAAATTATAAATTATTTATTTTTAATAAAAATAATTTAATAATTTATATAAATTTATTAATGATAGAAAAGCTCCTAAGAACTTCTAGAGAATTATAATATTTTGAGAGATGAAATTATTATTTATATATTTCAAAAAATTTTATTTTCATTTTTTTAAAAAGAAAAAAACATTTCAAATTTTATGTAATTTTTTGAATATATAAATATATAATTAAAATTTATTTTCATTTTAGATCGTTATTCTATTTATCATATCCATTGCTTTAATTTTTTTTAAATAATTAAAATGAATTTTAACCTTTCACTACTTTAAATTAACTAAAGTAATGTAAATAATATTTTAACACAAAATTTTATGTTTGCACAATATACATATATATGTGTGTGTGTGTATATTGAAGATAATAATTTAAAAGTATATATATACAATATATATTATTTGTAAATTTTTATATCATGTATAAATATATTAAATATTTGATATTTTACAAATATCCAATCAAAATAATTATAGAAAAATAAAGAAAATATTGTATACTTTTTACTAATCAAATCCCTATAGTTTCAAAACAGTTGAGTAACATTTATTATTTAGGTTTTTATAATTTTAATGTTTTTAGTTCCTATTATAGAGATTGAAAAAAATAAAAAAATTACAAAAGTTAAAAATAAAATTTAATAAAATTATAACAATCAAGTATTGTGTTACCTACAAATAAAAAATTTAACAAAAATTTTATTTTTACATTATATTCATTAGGTTGTACTATTAAATAAAATTCACATTGTTAAAAAAAATAAATCATATTGGATTCAAATTTATATTAACTCAAATAAAATAAAAATACAAAATAAAAGGGAAAAAACATGATAACACCAATTATTGGAAAATTAAAAGATTGCTTACAAATCAAGAATGACACTTATGACATTTAAAAAAGACTAATATCTTTATAAATATAATGAAATGTTTAAATCTCAATCGCTACTTACACACCACACACGCCATTAAAATATAATGAGGATGATTTATATTGAAAGAAACAAGTTTTGAAACCAAAATTTTCACAAGCAAAGTTGAACGCTTTGCATGCAATAAAGACACAATAACCAAAACTCTAACAATAATTAAAGGATTAACCTAAAGAGATGAAAGTTAAAATCACTAGAAATGGAATCCCAATCTTTAAAACTACTATAATATAACTTTTATAAACAAAAATCAAAGTAAAATGTTTGCAAAAGCATGAGATACCAAATTATATTAAAAATTTGCATTTAAATTGAAAAATGACACTTCAATGCAAGAAGTAGATGTGCGCTACGACACTCTATGCTATACGCCACAGCACTCTATGCTAAACCTATAAGACTAGGATAGTTTAAGCTCTTCAACTCGACCAAGGCTCTACCCTCATTCTTGGATCATGAATTTTCCCATCTTCAATGAAAGGATGTCACAAAACCTTGTTACCAACTTCACTAGTTGGAGTTTAAGAGTAAGCTATCATCTAAAATGGATGGCTTAAGCTCAACACTTTGTATAAACTTCTAAACTAGGTGTAAAACATTTAAACAACTCTCATTAATTCTATTTAAACTAATAGATCCGAACCTATTATCCTAGGTTTGAAAATTTCACTCTAGTAAAGAGGGAGAGGAATGGTAGAATAGGCTCACCTCTTAATCCCTTCTAAATGCTAGTACCTTTATGCCCTAACAGAGCATTTGCTCTCTCTATCACTCCCTTTCTTTCTTTCTCTCTTGTTCTACAACTTATGTTCGTGAGTTTTTTATTTTAAATTTTGTTTGTTTGTTATAACGAATGGCATAAAATGGCCAACCCGAATTTAATATCAATTTGGGCCTAAGTGGCCCAAAACACCACCAAATTCAATCCATTGGCTATTAAAAAACAGTCAATAAATCCATTAACCATTCCAAACTACCCTTAAACTAATTAACACTAAGCTTTACTTATTTAACCTTGTTTAATTTATCTAAACCAAGAATTAAAATCTAGGATGTTACAAACTATGATTTAGATTCATACTCATAAGCAAGGATGTCAGGTATAACCAAGAAGACTTATACTCATGTAGAAGAGAGGGGAAGGAAATCTCAATCATTGCACCACTGTGGTAAGAAGGCAAGAAGGACTAATAAGGTACACTTTGAGAACCTTGCTATTTTATTAGTTAATATCAATGCCTTAAAGAAAAAAACCATGGAAGAAATGGTTGGTATGGTTAAGAAGGTTGAGAGTGATATAAGTATACTAGAGGACCACACTCTTAAAAAACTTAAAGGGATAAAGAGTAGTATGAATGCCCTTCAAAACTTTGAGGATCAATGTAAGGAGGCCATGAAATCCTTAAAAGCAAAGGATATGGATGCCATCACAGCCACACAACTAGGTGGTTATTGGTTTGGACTTCATGCACAAGGTTGAGGGACAAGTTACTTGCACGGTACTCACTTTAAGGGATAGTTTTACCAATTATCAACAATGTGATTACTAAATGAAGATAACATGCCAAAAGAACAAGAAATGATCTCATCTTATGGGGAGGTGGATCATAAGGCAACTAAAACGAAGAATGATCTTTACAAAAGGAATCCTTAGTATATGAATAGAGTTAGTGATAAGGGTGCCACTAGTAGGTAGGGGAGAATGTCACAACCCTAATTTATAGAGAGGAAAACCTATAAGGTTGAAGAGTTTTTGACAACCTCTAAAATGATGCAGAGAATTCTAAGATGATTGAGAAGAATTTAGTATATTTTGGGATGTTCTAGAAGCATTTGGAATAATATATAAATATATAGAGAAGTTTAGAAAGATCTAGAAGATTCTAAAAATTTATGAAGGAATATGGATATGCCTAAAATATTCTGTGATATTCTACGAAGTTATAGAATGTTTTGCATATATCTTAGAGTTAGTCTTTAGAAATATTTTGTAAATATTTAGATATTTCTTGTAGATATTTATGCAAAATATTCTGAGGAATGAATATACACTATAGAATTAGATTGATCTCCACTATCTATTAAGGAGGTGGAAAAGTTCTAGTATAAAGGTGGAGTCTATAAATACCCTGACGTCCCTTATTTGTAACTAGCTATCTAGTAAAGTAATAAAGCTCTCAAGTTTTCTCATTCAAATTCTCCACTCTCTCATGTGTTACAAGGTTTCTAGCCTATTTACCTACATTCTTAAGGGTTTAGTTAACTTAACAAAGATCAAAAAACTAATCAAGCTAAGGTTAATACCGGTTTAAGGAAAGGGAAGTTCCAAGGCCGTGATATTAGGCTTTGGAAAATGGATGGCCTGAGTCTAATTTTATGAGCGGGTAAGGAAACTTGAATATTGCAATGCCAGACTGATGCAAAACACATAGACATAAAGGCAAAAGGGAACTTAGGCCTTGTTTAGTACAAAGCATGGGTTTTAAAAGATTGGGAATGGGACTGAGAATGAGATTGGAAGTAGGAATAAGTTTTACAAATCATGTTTAGCATAAGGTGGGAATGCTTAAATAATTTTTATTTAATATATATATATATATATAATTATAATTAAAAGGACTATAATACCCTTGTTGGAAAAAAAAAACTATCTTTCCTCCTTTAGCTTTGGATCTGTGATAGAGCCTCTTATTGAAAAAAAAAAACTCTTATTCATCCCTTAGCTAGTTTTAGATCTACGATGGAGCATCTTTTAGGGGAAAAAACTCTCCTTCATCCTTTAGCTGGTTTTAGATTTGTAATGGAGAAGACAAATGACAGCGTTAAAGGAATTTGATGACTCTTCATGGTAAAAAAAAAAGGGTTTAATCATGTATGGAGAATGCATCAATAGAGAAGATTGATTAGAGAACGTCATTGCTAGCCGCTCAACATCATCGTGTTATGCATCCTTGCGTCTAGATTGAAGAACACAGTTGCTCACTGCTGAACATCATCCTGTTGTGTGTTTAAGCATCCAAATTGGAGAATACCATTGCTCGCCACCTTTGATAAGCATCCAACCACCATGCACTGGATTGGAGAGGGAGTAGTAGGTGACCAAAGAGGGAAGAGATAAAGGCATGTTCTTGGTGAAGACTTAATGAAAAGGAAGGGCATTTTGGTCTAGAAAGTTTTAATCCCAGAATTAAATTTTTAGTAACACCTCCGCCTTAGGTTTCTCCAATCCTACCTACATGGATTTCATCAATTCCAAGTAACAACTAATCCATTATACCAAACATTATATAAGTAGGCTAACTCAATCCTAATCCCATTCCCAACCTTTCAATGTCATGTAAAACAAGGCCTTATATCTTAAAATACTATGGCTCTGAAGAACTATGTGGCTTGAGAAATTAACGACCTTTTATGTGATGCGACTTAAACTTTGGTGAGCTAT